CAGCACTTGGCTTCTCAACACGCAGTGCCAGCTTAGGAGAGGCAGCGCCAGCAAAAGTGGCAGCACCAGCAACAGTGGCAGCACCAGCAACAGTGGCAGCACCAGCAACAGTGGCAGCACCAGCAACAGTGGCAGCACCAGCAACAGTGGCAGCACCAGCAACAGTGGCAGCACCAGCAACAGTGGCAGCACCAGCAACAGTGGCAGCACCAGCAACAGTGGCAGCACCAGCAACAGTGGCAGCACCAGCAACAGTGGCAGCACCAGCAACAGTGGCAGCACCAGCAACAGTGGCAGCACCAGCAACAGTGGCAGCACCAGCAACAGTGGCAGCACCAGCAACAGTGGCAGCACCAGCAACAGTGGCAGCACCAGCAACAGTGGCAGCACCAGCAACAGTGGCAGCACCAGCAACAGTGGCAGCACCAGCAACAGTGGCAGCACCAGCAACAGTGGCAGCACCAGCAACAGTGGCAGCACCAGCAACAGTGGCAGCACCAGCAACAGTGGCAGCACCAGCAACAGTGGCAGCACCAGCAGCACATAAGTGCTTGGAGCTTTCACATGGTAGAGTTGTATGGCCAGGGCATGGCTGGCAGTAAGCACAAGACACATAGCACAGGCTGCATGGCAAACACACACCACACTAGAGTGGTCGTGCACTAGTGTTGGCTCGCACCGCATTGCACTGCACTGCAGGGGTACAGTCACCTCTCATTGATCCGCCCCTCAGCATCATTGTTTGTACATATCACTAACCACTTATCAAAATTAATGCAAATGGAGGTATTGAATCTTGATTCGCTTGGGGGCAAGGAACACATAACCCCATCGGCTGGGAGGTGGATGGAGCTGGACGAGAACGAGGCATGCAACGGGAGCCCTGCATGCAACCATGGCAGTATCGTGCGACCACAGCACTGCCAAAGGGGCGCACAGCCAATTGCAGAGCTCAGTCCTCCAACCTCTCCGTTGGTGGCCTTGCCAATCTAGGTTCGCCTTGCCACGCCCAGCAAGTAGCCTCTGCTTGCAGGCTGCTTGGCTGCTTGGCATTCCAATCAACTAACTTGCTGGTGGTTGGTTCCACACAACAATACGCAGGAGGCTCTAACTTTGCTCAAACCAGGTGTTACATACAACTGGTATTATTACATCGCTTTACAAGTGGTTGTATTTGGAAGTGTAGTTGAGGGCCCACACGGGCACGCAGTAGACGAGGATGCCGCCGAGGAAGGAGGGGAGGATGGTGAGGAGGTAGAGGTAGCAGTAGGGGCGCCAGCAGCGGCCGGTCTTGGCCTTGTGCAGGGCGAGCACCTCCACCATGAGCGTGGACACCGTGCTCATGCACCCCAGAAACCCCAGCTGCACCGCCCCCACCACCAGGATGCTCGTCTCGTTGTTGTACTGCCGGGGGGGGGGACAGGGGGGTGGGGGAGGCCAGGGTGTGGGAAGGTGCATGACGAGAGGAAGAGAGGAAGACAAAGGGGGCTGGGGGGACAGGAGGCGCTGGAAAGAGAGTGAGTGAAAATGGTGGATGCGAGTGGAGTGAAAATGGTGGATGCGAGTGGAGTGCAAATGGTGGATGCGAGGCATGGGGTGGGCGGGAAGCCACACAGCCTGTGCACGGCTAGGGGTGCCAGGCGCCCGCGTCTCACCGCGAGCACGACGGTGGAGAGGGCGGCCTCCAGCACGGACGCGGTGACGTTGGTGGCCACCGTGCCCACAGGCACCCACTGCCACCACCGCCCCTTGCCCACCGCGCCGCCGTTGAGCCACGACAGGTACCACCGCACCCACGCGCCCGGCGCCGCAATGAGGCACGCAAACCACAGGCGCCGCGTCTTGTTGGACGAGTCGTCCAGCGCCGTGCCAATGGCGGCGCCCGTGGCGAGGAAGACGGAGACGCAGAAGAAGAGCAGCAGCGACGCCCACCGCCGGTCAAAGTGGTCGCTGCGCGGCGCGCGGATGGCCGGCTGGTTGCGTGCGGCGCGGCGCTCATTGGCCCTCTTGAGCTGCCAGCGGATGCCGTCCGCCAGGTCGATGCCCGCCATCAGCGACACGAAGGGCAGCGCCGCACCTGCCAGGGATGGAGGGACGCCAGGGCGCATGGTGGTGAGCGGCGGGCAGCAGGGGCACGGCGAGGCACAGATGCTGTCAGGGGCACGCGCAAGAGCGATCGCATGGAGAGGGACAATGCGCATGCAGGCGCAGCATGGCAACGATGCAGCAGGTGGGCACAGCAATGGAGCGCCGTACCGACGATGCAGCCAGGTGCTCCTTCATCCCATGCTTGAACCCCACGATCACGCTAGCACGTACCGACGATGTAGCCGGCGAGCGCGCGCACCCAGAGGCCGGAGGCGAGGATGGCGAGCATGCGCTGGTTCCACGACGCGAAAGTCGTAATGCTCCCGCACAGCCCCGTCGCCAACCCGATCGCCAGGTGCTCCGAGTACGCTGAGATGTGGCGCTTCGCCGCCACGCCCACCACGCCCATTATGAAACACCCCACCTGCGCCACGGAAGGGGGGCGGGGGGGAGAAGCGGAAGGCGGAACGGAGAAGCGGGAGGGGGCGGGGAATGGGGAAGGAGCGGAAGGGGGGGGAAAGGAGGGAAGACATGGGGTGAAGAGAGGGAGGGTACTGAAGAGTTAGCGACAGTAATTCACGACGTTGGCGACAGTAACACACGACGGTAGCGACGGCGGCTCACGATGTTGGCGGGCAGGTCGATGAAGACCGTCTGCTCGTCGTCCGTCACGTGCGCCACCTCCGGGCCGAACAGAATCTCCAGCCCGTACCGAATCAATACCTGCCAGCGCGCCGCCCACGCGGCAGGATCGGGAAGACAGATAGACTCAGTTGTGAGTGCGACGAAGAGGGCTCGAGACGAGAGGACGAGGGGCGGAGGGGTGACGAGCGCGGGGGGGAGGGCGGCATGGGTGCAAGGGGCGGCGAGCGCGGGTGAGCGGCGTACCCCGAGGATGGCGAAGGCGGCGAGGTGCACGAGCACCGACACGTGCGCCAGCCATGGCTCCAGCCGCTCGTCCTCCTCCGGCGCCTGCTGCCGCCACGCACAGGGGGATTGGGGAGGACGGGGGGAATGGCGGAGGTTGAAGGGGGCGAAGCGGAGATGGACGAAAACGCACGGCCCGGTTAAGGCGGAAAGCGAGATTTCACACACTCGGAGTAAGCGCGCCGAGCTGAGATGTGCTGAGATCCGAGCCGGTGCTGCGCAGCTGCGCGACACCGTCGTCGGGTCGCCGCCGCTAACCCAGGACATGCAAGCACGCTCGCCACACACTCGCCTGTATTTCCGATATCCGCGGCTGAGCGGCAGCTGGCGCCGCGACGACAATTGCGGCGGGAGGTGAAGAGCCAAGTCCCGAGGCGGGAAGCGCGATGTCTAGCGTGGCTGCTTCCGCCGAGGCCGACCTGTCGGACAGCTGCTGCGAGTGTCTGGGAGCACTATCGGAGCCCATCGTTCCTAAGATAATAATAACCAGTACAATGCAATCTGAAGCCTTCGGTCGGAGGTAAATGGGTAACCCTACTTCTTGACTACAAGGATCAGTCGACCTAACTACGCGGTATGGCGGATGGCGGCGAGAGCAGGTTGCATGGCATGCGTTCACCACGGCACACGAACCACTAAGCGACGTTCAAGTCAGATGCTCGCGCATCGTTACACCATGGAGACAGGGCGAGCCAGCGCTGCAGGTCCACTCCACACTGGATATCTCAGGCAGGCAGCCATGGCGCTTTCGGGTACGCTAGGGTAGGTTGGGAGGCGGCGGGGGAACGAGGCTGGCCCGCCCTGCCGGGCCTGAACGGAGTTGCAGGGCGCGCGGGGGGGCGGGCGGGGCGGATGGATCATGGGACTCGAGGAGGCGTGGCTGCGGGGAGGCTGATTCGTGGAGGGGGAGGCAAGCAGGGGGAGGGGGAGGTGCGGCGAGGCGAGGGGGCAACCAGTGTGGGTGGGGGATCGGATGTGGTGCGGGGAGGTTGCGCCAGATGTCAGCGCCAGCCAATCAGGTGGAGCTTGGCCAAGGAAACGAAACGAAACCCTAGTTGGCTGTACCTTCACCTGATGCCCCTCCCCACCGCCACCAGACCTCAGCCCGCCTGGTTTCGCACGCAGCAGCCGTGAGGGCATCAGGTCTGCAGTTTGCGCCCCAGCTCAAGTTACCAGCGTGTTACGGTGTAAATTATCATGGTATTTTGTCTGTAGTGTTCTATGTACAGATTTCTTCCTTTTACGGGCCCGTCTGTCTAAAGGTATTTACTCAATATCGCGGTTGTGTTTCATGTCAGATTATCAGATTCCCGCCACAGCCCTATTCGCCAGCAGACACGGCGACGCGGTGTGATGGGGATCAAAGCAGGGCTCTCGCTAAGCCTAGGGTATTCCGTTAGGTCACGGGATCGGCCCCAAAATGACCCGTTAGCGGACGGAATCGCCGAAATTTACCCGTCAGCATACGGATTCGTCGAAGACAAATGGCCTCACCACGGCTAAGGATAAGCCCCAGAACCCCCAGGAATCCTTTCTCGCGCGTACTATGTCTCGAGCGGTTTGGAAGAGTACAAAAACTACCCGCTAACTAACCTATCTCTTTGCTTAGCGGAGGAAGTTGGGGAAAATGTAAGGGAGGCTGGGAAGGGAAGATAGACCACCACGAACAGATCTCCTTCTACAAGTGCACTTCGTCCGGAATCAAAGATAAGTAACCCGGAATCTCAAGGAATCCCACGGAAAGTAATCCGTTGGGAGTGCGGAATCAATAAACCATTACTATGCAAAAAAACGAAATCAGGTCAAGAACAACCCTGATTTTCTTGGAATTAATAATAATTACCCATTTAGCCAGAGCCCTGGATCAAAGGGGTTCACGTTCTCTCAGTTCTGCCACGATTGCACTCAAAGTGTTGTGTGTAGCTCTCGCAGATGGACGATGGACGCTATGTGAGATTTCACGCGCAGTAGCATCCTGATCACGATTCGCTGGCATTTCTTTCTCAAGAAGTTCTGTAACATATGTGAGTTATTTTTTATGAAGTCGACGCGTTCAGCGCCGTGCGCCATTGTGTGACGCGCGACCAGCTCGACGAACGTCCGTATGGCTCGCCGCTTCCGCTTCTGCCATTTAACGGCTCTCGCGTTTCTCGTGTGCGTGCTGTCGCCGCGCTCGTCGGCGACCGCCAAGTACGACGTCCTCTTTTTCTCCGCCGGGCCCTACGCGCCGTGCGGCACGTCCGGTAACTTCTCCGCGGTCGGCGCGCAGGGCGCGCTCGAGCCGTACAAGGGCGAAGCGCGGTCGCTCAAGGGACCGGCGGTATCGGGGCGAGTGACCGTTTACGATGACTGCTACTTCGCGCTTTCGGATCTCAGGTGCCGCTCTCTCACGCCTCGACCATCGCTCTATCTCTCACCATCCTCGCGTTTCACCTAGTGACCCCACACTCCTCACGATCTCTCGCGCACTCCACCTATCGCCTCTCTCTCCACCCCCTCATCTTCATCTCCCCACCTCCCCGCCACTCCTCCCCTCCCCCTCCGCCTTCCCCGCAGCATCAGCGCGTCCGTCGACGCGCCGCTATCCATCTGGGCGGGGCCAAAAGGCGCCGACCCCTACTCGCACGCCGCGCCTGTCGACCCCTACGCCGCCTCCTCCTTTCCCGCCGCCGCCGCCTCTGCCTTCGCACCGGCCGGCACCGCATTCAACCTCACTGCGACGTCGCTAGTGGTGGTGTTCCTGCAGGCGGGGGGGCTCACCTGGGACGAGGCACAGGTGCTCTACGTGTGCGCGGGGTCCGCCTCCGCGGGCATCGCGCGGATCTATGCGCAGTTCGAAGTGGGGGCCCGGGGGGAGCACGGGGGGGCGCACGGCAAGGCGGTGCGCTGGGTGCGCAAGGCGGTGGGGGTGGCGGCCAGGGAGCAGCGCCTGCTCTTGCCCGCGCCCCCGGCGCGCCCCCCTCCTCCTCCCCCAAAGCCGCCTGCGCCGGGCAGCAGCGGGCCTTCCGCGGGGCTGACGAACTGCGTGGAGGCGGTGCCGGGGCTAATGAACATGTGAGTGACTGTAACGGGAGGTGTGGAGATGGGTGGAGTACGGTTGTACGGTTCTCTCCCTGCTGCCCACGCCCCCTCACTCACGCCCTCCCCACTCCCTCCCCTCTCTCCCCACGTCGTGTGCGCGTGTGGGCGATTATGCGCGGCGGCGATGGCTGCGCGGCACCGCGCGCGCAGATACTGGACCGTGCATCACGCCGACGCAGACGCTGCCGCCGATGCCGCGGCACCGCCGCCAGAAGCGTCTGCGGTCACGGGGTCCGCGACCGCGCCCACCAGCAGCGGCGGCGGGGAAAGCGGCGGTGGCGGGGGGAGCGGGCGGGGCGCGGTGGTGGAGGTGGGGATGGAGGCGCGCGTGGGCGAGGGGTCGTGGGTGGCGTTCGGCGTGTCACGCAACCAGACGCGGTTCGCCATGCTGCAGAGCGACGTGACGGTGGGCGGCGTGCTGGCGGGGGGCGCGGAGGGCTTCGCGCTGGACTTCCACATCACGGCCAAGCAGCCGTGCCAGCAGGTCGCGGGGGGCTTCGTCGGCGTCTGCCAGGTGAGGCGCCGGTCCGCGCAGGGCGCTGGTGCGGCGCTGCTTGTGCGGTGTGGAATCCATCACCACCCCATCTCTCTGCCCACGCTCCTCGTGCGTGCTCTCACCTCGTGCGTGCTCTTCCTCCTCGTGCGTGCTCTTCCACCTCATGCGTGCTCTTCCACCTCGTGCGTGCTCTTCCTCCTCGTGCGTGCTCTTCCACCTCGTGCGTGCTCTTCCGCCTCGTGCGTGCTCTTCCACCTCATGCGTGCTCTTCCACCTCGTGCGTGCTCTTCCTCCTCGTGCGTGCTCTTCCACCTCGTGCGTGCTCTTCCACCTCGTGCGTGCTCTTCCACCTCGCATCACTGAACCTCTCGATTGCCCTCCCCCCTTCCTCCCATCTCCTTCCCCCCCGCCTCCCCCCAGGATTCTCTCCTCGCCGCGTCCCCCACGCCGCTAAACAACGTGCGCCTCATCTCCGCCGCGCGCCGCGGTGACGTCACATTCATCCGCTTCTCCAAGCCCGCCGCCACCTCCGACGACCGCTTCGACGCCAACCTGCTGCGCGCGCCGGGCCTCTCCGCGCTCTGGTGGGTCGTCTTCGCCGCCGGCCCCCTCGCGCCCGCGTCCACCGCCGCCGCGCCCGCGCTGCTCTTCCACGACCCCGCGCTGGGGTACTTCGCGGGGGGCACGCGCATCCCCTTCGCTCCACCCGCGCCCATCCGCACCTGCTCCCCGCTCTGGGGCTCCAAGCCCCTTTACCACCCCCCGCTCCCCCCCTACGCGCCCCCTCCCCCTCCCGGCGCCGCCGCCCCTCCCCCGCCGTTGGGGGCGGACGCGGCGGGCGGCGTGGCGGGCATGCCGGGGCTGCGCGAGTGCAGCACAGCGGTGGGCGGGCAGGTGTACGCGTTCGACGCGTGCGACGCGCTGCCGGGCGGCTTCCTGCTGATGTGGTCGCTGGCCGGCATCACGCTGCGCGCCGCCTTCGTCGCGCAGGCCGTGCCCGAGGGAGGGTACGCCGCCGTGGGCCTCTCGCCGTCCGGCGCCGTCGTCAACTCCAGCCTGCTCGTCGTCGCGTACACGGGGCAGGGGGAAGGGGGAGGTAGTGGCGGGAAGAGCGGGGGGGCGGGAGGAGCAGCAGGGGGTGTGGAGGTGGGGCAGTACGTGGTGCGCGCGGCGAGCAGGGGCGCAGGCGTGGAGGCGGTGGCAGGGGGCGACCTGACGGTGGTGAGCAGCGCGGGGCAGGCGAGGAGCGGCGTGGTGACGCTGCTCTTCTCGCTACTGCTGCTGCCCAACCAGACCGCCGCCGCCTATCTCGTCTGGACCAAGGGCTCCCACGCCGACCTCTCGCTCGCCGCCACCGCTGCTGCGGCCAACGACAGCGCCACGGGTGGCGGCAGCTTGTCGGTGGACGGGTTGGAGGCGCTGATGACGTCAGCGATCAGCTTTGAGCGCGGCGAGCCCAAGGACGACGCCAATGACACGATCCGCCTCTGGAAGGTGCGCCTGCCGCCTGCTGCCTGCTGCCCGCTCTCTCCGCGCTCTGCTCACCGCTCTCTGCTCTCTGCGCTCTGTTCTCTGTTCTCTGCTCTCTGCTCTCTCGGCGCTCTGCTCTCTGCTCTCTGCTCTCTCGGCGCTCTGCTCTCTGCTCTCTGCTCTCTCGGCGCTCTGCTCTCTGCTCTCTGCTCTCTCGGCGCTCTGCTCTCTGCTCTCTGCTCTCTGCTCTCTGCTCTCTGCTCTCTGCTCTCTGCTCTCTGCTCTCTGCTTGCGTTTTGCTGCTCGCTGCGCTCTGTGTGTTTCTCTTCTCCGGGTTCCCCTCTCACCCCCATGGCATCGTGTGATCGCCTCTTCTCATCATCCAAACCCCTTCTCCCCCCGTTCGGTCAGATCCACGGCATCATCAGCACGGTGGCATGGGCGCTGCTGCTGCCGCTGGGCGCCATGGCGGCACGCTACCTGCGCCAGGTGTACCCGCTGTGGTTCCCTGCGCACCAGGCGCTGCAGCTCGCTGCGTGCTCGCTCGCCACCGTGGCGTTCACCATGGCGTTCACCATGCCGCACGGCGCCATCGCTGGGCGGGCGGACGAGGCCAGCCGGGGTGCGTGCGTGACGGCGCACACGGCCATGGGCATCGCGCTCATGGCGCTCGCCGCATTGCAGCTCTCAGCGCTGGTGTGGCGCCCGCACGAGGACAGCCCCTCGCGCCCCTACTGGCGTCGCGTGCACGCGGCACTGGGTGCGCTGACGCTGCTGCTGGGGCAGGCGCAGGTGTTCATCGGCCTCTTCATCTCGGCGGCCCCGCTGTTCTACACGGTGCTGCTGGCCGCGTGGGTCATCTTCGCTGTGCTGCTGGCCACGGCGCTCGAGCTCCACTTCTTTCCCACCTTCTACCGCCTCGCGCACTGCCGGCCGCGCCTCACAGGGGGGGAGGGCGCTGACGAGGCGTCTGACGTGGACAGCCTGTGTGCGTCCAGTGACCGGCTGGCAGGCGGTGCTGGCAGGAAAGGGCCCTCAGGTGCCGCTGCTGGCGCCTCGCCTGCCCCCCGCGCTGGAGTGGGCGCGTCCCCTGCTGCTGCTGGGGGCGCAACAGCAGCAACAGCAGCGGAGGGGGGGGGCAAGTTGAGCAGTGGGGGGGGCGCAGTGGGAGGCTGGGTGGCGGCAGTGGTGGGGGTGCTGAGGCGCAACAGGGGCGCGGGTATGCTGCCTGAACAGCCGAGGGGGCAGGGGAGAAGAGCGAGGGGGGGGAAGGGTGTGGGAAGGGGAGGAGGGAGAGGAGGGGGCGCCGCAGGCGGTGTGAGAGGGAGTGAGCGCCATGGGGCGGGTGAGCGGCATGCGGGGTACCTGGGTGCGGGGGCCGGGGGGTACATGAGCATGGCGGGCGCCAACGCCGCCACGGACAGACGATCCAAGGAGCTGCTGCCACCACCCCCACACGCACAGGAACCACCAGCCCACGCCGCTGCTGCTGCTGCTGCTGGTGCTGGTGGCGTGACAGAGGCAGAGGGAGCAGGAAGGGAGGGGGTGAGAGCGGGGGAGAGAAGAGAAGGGGTGGAGGGAAAGGGAAGTGCGTTGGGTCGAAGCCAGACAGTGGCAGAGGGGGGTGCGAGGAAGGACGAGTGGGAGGTCAGCAGACAGGGCCACCATGCCACTGCTGCACCTGCTGCTGCTGCTGCTGCTGCCGCAGGGGGCAGCAGCCAATCACGAGACGCGTGGTTGGGTGGAGCGGCAGCACGGAGGGGGGAGAGAGGTGAGGGGAGGGCGAGTGAGGGAGTGAGTGAGGGAGTGAGTGAGTACATCCGCGTGGACAAGTACAATGTACGGGCCACAGTGGTGAGAGCACCGGACCTCGCTCTCAGGGGAAGAGGACAGCAGGGAAGGGCGAGGGGAGAGGCAGGAGAGGCAGGAGGAGCGGGAGGGGTAGGAGGGGGAAGCAGCATGAGTAAAGGGGGAGGATCGGCCCAATAATGTTTTGAAAGAGTGGTGCTGTGCTGTAAGGCATCGTGCTGTGACGACATCGTGCTGTGCCATGCTTAGATTCACCATGGCAGGTCTGTATGGCCCCATATGTGAAGGTGGCAGCATGATGTGTGTGTTGCACGATGCAGTAACCACCTGTGCACTGCACCAGGCAACATGCGGTCCACGTTGTTCTCCTGCTAGGCTGTAGCCACGTGCTCACCTCTGCACACCGCAGCAGCCCCTGCTACAGATGGTCTCAGCTACTGCATGAATCACAAGCAGTCGGTTGCTATGAAGGCCATATCAGACATGAGAGTAGCTCCAAGATTGCAGCCATACAGACAGTTGCTCAGAGTAAATGCACAACAAACTGTACTAAGGTATATATTTTATTACAGATTGCTACATTGCACTGCAATTGCTAGGGTACAGAAGAAGTCGACTATCCTCATCCTGCTGCTTTTGCAGCAGGGAAAAGAATGGCTAGCAGCCACAGCTTAGGTCTGGTGGCGCCCAGCACATCCATGCAGAGTGTGTCACCACCAGCTATCCTGGTGGCGCCCAGCAGCACCAAGGGCTTCATGTATGACGGGGCATCATCACCTTCACCCATGGCTGCCCCAGCCCTGTCAGGGCTGGGCGGGCTGGGGGGAGGAGCCGATGTGGCTGTAGAGTGAGTCGAAGCCCAGCAGCCAGCACGGCACCGAGTACACCAGTAGGCCCAGCACAAAGGAGGGCGCGATGGTGAGCAGCGCGTAGAGATACGCCTTGGCGGGGCTTCTGAGCGTGTAGTGCAGGTAGAGCGCCTCCAAGCACGGCATGGAGACCGTGGACAGGCACGCCAGGAACCCCAGCTGCATCGCCCCCACCGCCAGCTCGCTCTCCCTGCCCTGGTACTGGTAGGGGGAATTGGAGGGGGGGTGGAGGGGGGGGGACGGGGAGCGGGGTTTGGATGGAGAGATGGGAAGAGTAAGGGAGGTGCGTGAGGGGAGAGTAAGGGAGGTGCGTGAGGGGAGCGGGGGAGGGAGGGAAGGCAGGAGGGAGAGAGGGGGATTGGGAAGGATGAGGAATGATGAGGCGTGCAGAGGAGAGGAGGGCGGAGCAGCAGCAGCAGCAGCAGCAGCGGGGTTGTACCTTGAGGTAGATGACGGAGATGGCAGCCTCTATCCCCGCCGCGCCCACGTTCGCCATCCACGTGCCCCATGGCATCCACTCCCACGCGCCCGCCCCCTCCCCCTCCCCCGCCAGCAGCGCTGCCTTGGCTGGGGAGCGGGGGGAGGGCGCGCAGGGGAAGCGGAGGGCGCAGGGCGCGCCGTTGAAGCGGAGGAGGAGGTAGCGGAGGTAGGTGCCGAGGGGGGCGAGCAGGCACGCGCAGGCAAGCATGCGCCACTGCTGCGCGGAGGAGGGGATCAGCAGCGCGCCGAGCCCCGCCAGCAGCAGCATGGAGGCAGAGAGCAGCAGCATGGGGAGAATGTGGCGCCGGTGGTGGGGGGACTGCGCGCGCGGAGTGGGCGCGGCGAGCTTGGCGTGTAGCATGGTGAAGGGCAGGAGGTAGGCGGAGGGGGAGGAGCGCGCGGAGGCGGAAGCGTGGCGGATGGCCGTGCCCGCGTCGACACCCGCGACGAGCGCGAGCAGGGGGAGCGCGGATCCGGTGAAGTAGCCGAAGGCGGCGCGCGCCCAAAGACCCGAAGTGGCGATAGAGAGCATGCGCTGGTTCCACGTGGCGAATGTTGATATGCTGCCGCACAGCCCCACGACGACGGCGATGGCTAGGTGGCGCGAGCGCGCGAGCAGCGCGGGGAGCAGCGCGACGGCGGAGAGGCCGAGGAGGAAGGCGCCGAGCATGTTGGCGGGCAGGTCCACGAACACCGTGAGCGCGTCGTTGGTCACGTGCGCCACGCCCGGGCCGAAGAGTTCGTCCAGCAGAAACTGCACGCACACCTGGGGGCGGAGGAGGAGGGGGGGCGCGGGGGAACGAGGGAACGAGCGGGAGATAAAGAAAGGCCTTTAGCTTGTGCGCGTGCGGTGGTGGAAGCGGGGGAGGAGAGGGGGGAGGGGTGCGGGGGAAGAGCGGTGCGTGGGGGGGATGGCATGGGCGCGCACCCCGACGATGGCGAACGGTGTGATGTGCGCCACGATGCTGGCGCCGTCCATCCACCGCTCCCACCACTCCAAGCGCTCTCTCTCCCCCGCCGAGTCAGCGTGTGCGCAGACGCACGCGGGGGGCGCGTCGAAGAACCCCGCGTGGCTGGCGTAGCAGAAGTCAGTCCCAGTCACCTGCCATGCGCGCGCAGCGGGGGTGCGGCAGGAGGTACGCGGGGCAGAGGGGAGTGAGGTGTGTGAGGAGGGAGCGCCGGGGAAAAGGCGCTGGGCGCAATGAATGCGGCGGCGATAGCGGGGACGCTGGGCTGCGCACCCTCCTTGCGCTCCTCCGCTCCAGATTTCAATCTCCGCCCTCCATCCCCGCCCCCCCTATTCCGACCGCCTCACCTCGTCTGCGGACGTGAGCGGAAGAGCGCATTTCCGCCGAAGACGGCTGGCGCGGCAGACACAGGTCGCGCCACTGCATGTTTCCGTCGCCTGCGTGTCGTCATTCCTCCCAGCCGCGATGCACGCTATCGCTGCGCTGTCGCTGCAAACGGCGCTATCTGATCCCGGCTCGCTGCGGCTCGCAAGCTCGGCGCGCTGTCGAGCGGTAGGGTCCGCGTCGCACGACATAGCCGCGCCGACATTAATCAGCGGGTGGCGATCCGCTTGTACAGCCTCGCAAGCTGTGGCGACCGCTCCGCTCGACGCTCTACACTCGTCCGAGCCCACCGCTGCTGCTTCTGACGGCGACGAATCCCCGTTCCCCAGGCTACGCGTGTCACGGGGGCTCGCAGCTGCCGTGGAGGGGCACACGGGCATGATAGCGCCGTGGGAATTACGCGACGGCCGTGCCACGTCAGGCGCGGCGACTGAGAGGTTGGGACGCTGATCGTCGCTCATTGGTTCGGCTGTCAGTGAATTGGGATGGAGGTAAGGCGCAGGCGCGGGGGGTTGCACGGGGGGACCTGCGAGGGTCAGATAGCCGTGCGCAGCGCACACAGCGGGGCGCGCCTAGTTCTTAACGACGTGCGGTCATCACGGGAGAGAGGTGATTCTCGACATGGCGGACGCTGTCTGGCAGGTCTCAGCGGAAGCTGGATCTGGACCTAGCGGGAGGCGTAAGGGCGGAGGGCGAAGTTATCGAGTGATAGGAAATAAAGTACTATTGTCGTGCCGATTGGATTTTCTGAAAGGGGGTGGCATGAGCGCTGCTGATCTATAGCTGGCGGGAGAGGATAGCGCCTAGGTGATTACTAGCCAAGCCACAAGACCTGGCTGAGGGGTGCTTGGGTTGGGTGGTTGTGCCTGGGATGGACAAAACAGTCAGAGCGGGGGAGGAGGTACTGTAAAGCGGGGAGGCAAGGTACGGTGTGGGAGTGGGGTAGGCGTTGTAGGGGGAGGTGACATGCGAGGAGCCAACAGGGACAGGCTTGCAGGCTCGCAGTAAGGCGGGTGTTGTGTTCGTCGTGCTGGATGGAAGGAGGATCATCGGGGAATGCGGGGCGGAATGAGATCGGTCAGCAACGGTGGAGTAAGGTACTGTGGGTTACTGCATGGCAAACGTGGGGACTCGGGAGGTTGGGGGGATGAGCAGCATCCAACAGCTGGGTTGCGCGGAAACAGTCGGGGGGGGAGGTACTCTTGCAGGCCGAGGGTAGGCACAGAACTGAGTTCGTTTTTCGTCACAAACCTTACCCAACCATTTTCGTTGATTGACGAAACGCTCTAGAACGCGAAGAAACTCACCTAGCCGCAGCAAAAAGGAGCTCGAGAGATGGCGAAGGAACACTGTGGCAAAACCCCACCTCTCCTGCGGGTGCTGCTGTCATGCCATGCCATCCAGCCCCCACGCTTATGCGGAGGACGCAGTAGGGAGGCTGGCTGTTGGGGAGAGCGGAAGACAACTGCTGAAACTCCCTAGGGAACGGAAGGATGAAGCCTCGGATGCGGGGAAGGGCAGGCTGGGATGAGCTGGACCATCCGTCGTCAGCCGCAGCAGTCAGCCAATCAGAAAGGGAGGTGCGGTTTGGTCTGGAGCGGTGGAGGAGCTGTCCCTTTCGGCCGTTCAGTCAGCGGGCGCCACGTCGACCATGAAGGGTCACGGGGGGTTCGGAACAGTGACCCAACCACAGATGATACCTGCCAGTAACAGCCTGGATCCTTGGGAAGGGGAGGTTGCGTTTAGGCAGTTCTGACAAAATCGGAAGAGGGATGTTTTACTGTGCTTTATGAACACCCAAAAGTGGATCTCATATGTCCTGCAACACATAGTCATGATGGAGCTTCTTATCATATAAGGAACCAGAATGGGGATATTTGCATAAAACCGTGACAAAAACATCATCAATGGGGCATAAAAACCCTATAATTTCTCAATTATTGTGTACGACGCATGACCACCAACCGAGGACTCAAAGGGCGGTTGATGCTTCGATGCTCCCAGCACACCCAAGAGTCAGTAGGCAGTGACGCTGCCACGTTGAGCACGGCATCGTACTCCTCCCTTGTGCAACCCAGCGTGAATGGGAAGGCAGGGGAAGGGAGAATACGCAGATGGGAGATCTGGGAAGCAAATGCATATTGCAACAAGTCCATAGCATGTGCAAAACACATGCTCAATCCTCATTCAGGCACTCTTGGGCCCCATTTCTCACTCATCTCCGCCCTCCCATCCCTGCGCTCTCACCTGCCCCCTGTGTGGCCCACATACGCCATGACACTGATGACGCCCCCCACTGCTGTGGCTGTCACTGCTGCCGCTAGCGCTGCCACCGTGCTGCTCGGCTGTGTTGTGAGCACAGGAAGAGCGGTGGGAGGAGAGGGAGTGGCGACAGAAGGATGGCGGTCGGCATGAGGCAGATAGCCAAGGTTGAACGCCACGAGGCTGGGGTGGTGCAAGGAGGTGGGGGGATGGGGGGACGAGGAGGTGAGGAGGGCAGGGATGAAAAAGTACTGACATGCTGATTGATGGCACGTGGCATGATGTGTAGTTGAATGTGGCACGGTATGTGATTCAACACGAGATGCGAGGGATGTGGCATGCTGCGTGCACCGTGCAGAGTCTGGGGCGACATGTTGAAGCAGCGTGGAGTGGCAGCCGCATATGGTGTGCACACGAGCCATCTGCCACAGGGGAAAGGGGGAGCTCGAGACATTTGTGTGCTGCACCAGTGCCCAAGGATATAAGACTAGCATATGTGTGATCATGGCTGCCACCGACTGCAGGAGAGTTACAGACACATGTACAGCAATGAAATCATCTCGAGCGCCTCTCACCTGCTGCTCTGACAGGCCAGCTGCCAGCCGCTGATTGGTTCTCCTGACTGCCTCCTCCTGTATGTCCATGGCCACCACTCGCCCTCTCACCTCCTCCCTCGCACTCTCTGCATCGCCTGCACCATGCCATCCCATGCCACCCAACCCATGCATGCCACGCGTATCGCACCACGCCACGTACTCATCCATCCACCACATGCATGCGTGCAGGAGCACATGGGGTTGGCATTGCATAGCATGCCACTGCAGGCATGGCAGAGAGCGGCATTGAGCAATGCAGCAGGCGCGCTGTGCGGGGCGAGTGCGAGGGCATCACCAGCGGTGGGCGCGAGCGAGAGCGCGAGGGCGGCCATGGCGAGGGCGTCGTGGCCGTTGCCGCACGTGGCGTCCACCACCGTGTCGCCCCGCCGCACCACACTGCTCCACAGCCTGACGCACGCGCACGGGAGCACGGCGGACAGGGGAAAGGGGTACGGGCGGAGGATGAGTGGCGGAACGCAGGGTGGGGGGGGGGGGGGGGAAAGGGGGAACGTACTGGTGCGCGACGGCCGTGAGCTTGCGGCCGCTCAGCAGCGACTGGGCGAGGTCCGGGTCGCTGGGCTGCGCTGCTGACGCCGCTGCTGCTGCCGCCGCGGACGGAGCTTCCCGGCAGGAAGATGTGGCTCGCCGCTGAGGGTCGCCGGCCATCGGCAACATCGATGTCGCCGCCTCGGACCTCATTGACGCTTCGCCACCCGGCCACCTCAGCCTGTCACCGCACTGCATCCCTGTGCGCCTATTCGCATGAAGCGCATCGTTCCACAAATTCCGTGGAAAACTAAGCGCTAGAGGCCAATTGGGACCCGCACGGATTCTTAGCGACGAGAGCATGGTGGTGGAACTGGGCGCGAATGGCGCTGACGAATTCATGGTAGGGGAGGATGTGGGTCGGTGATGGGAATGTCAGGATTTGGGGGAGCTCTGATTCAACAATGAATGACCTCGTTGAACCTGATTGCTCATTACAGCGCGAAATGGTTTCTTACAGACAACTAACAAGTGGGAAACGTAACAGTTGGATCTATTGGTCGCATAGCGAAGTGCTATCCCCCGCTACTGTCACTCCCTCGAGATTGGTGTTGCGCTGGCGCCCTCTGACGACAGTCCCACGATGCGGGAACCCACACCACACGCAAGCGGGGATCGGCCTGACACATTTCAGATGACCGCACCGAGCCGAACCGAAGAAAGTTCACCTGAGCATGGTGTCATCTCATCAGCAGCAGGATCTCCCAGGCTGCATGGATTCGGCCGAATTTCGAAATTTCGATTTCCTAGAACTGGTGTCTCGTCCCGGCATCTCCTGATAGGCATCCTGACATCTCATTTCATCGCCATCTCAGCTTTCTCTTTCTCATCAGCAGTTCTCATTTGCTTCCTCATTCCGTTTTTTACGCTGCACCTCGTTACCGGCGGGTGCTTCGTCCTCCTAGCGTTCCTCGCAGCCATGGCGACTGTAACTGCACCGTCCGTGCAGCAGACGATCGACCGTTTGAGACTGGAGACGGCGACGCTCGATGAGATCAGGTCCGTCCGTGGACTGGTGCAATCAGTTTAAGAACCGTGTCTCAGTTTGCAATTGCCTGATTCAGCAGTAAGCCAGCTCTGCAACATGCTAACCACACAACCCCTTGTCCCATCCCAGCGCCCAAGAACGGAGCGGATTCTTGTCGCTTTTCGAGCGTTACTTGCAGTAAGTCTCAAACATGACTTCATTCGCGAGCTGTCTCTTAGGCTTCCAGATAGTTCTTTATCCGTCTCTGACATTGCTGACGTGGATGGTGCAGGGAGAAGGCGAATGTGATCCAGTGGGACAAGATCAAGTCGCCCACGGACAAGGAGGTCGTTCCGTACGACGACCTTCCCGCCGTGCCTGAAGGTAACCGCATCCCCAGCCTATCCACCCACCCAGCGACACCAACCAACCTCGTCCGTTCCTCGTTCCTGGTTCCTCGTTCCCCTGTCTTAGCCGGCCGTGGTGCGAGCGCCATGGTGTGCAGACCCCGCGGTGGTGAAGGCGCTGCTGAGCAAGCTGGCGGTGATGAAGCTCAACGGCGGGCTCGGCACCACCATGGGGTGCACCGGACCCAAGTCAGCCTCCGCGCCCTCCTTCCGCTTCATGCTGTTCCTGACTTAAGTCCACCCATTGGATTTGGTTCTAACGGCTCTGTCTATGGCTGTTTCCAGGTCTGTGATCGAGGTTCGGAATGGACAGACATTTCTGGACTTAATCCTGAAGCAAATCGAGGTACGGCAGTCGAGTGGGAGGGAACCTCTGGCTTGTTACTCAAGTTGCAATCACGCGCGCTGCGGACCTTGACGTTGCGGCTTGTGGTGGCAGACGCTGAACGCCAAGTACGGGTCGAGCGTGCCGCTGGTGCTGATGGACTCGTTCAACACGCACGACGACACGCTCAAGGTGCCGCCGCTCCTCGCCTCGCCTCCTCGCTTCACTCTTCATGCTACCCCCTAACGATCCTTCACGCTTTGTGGATCCGTGTGTCGACGTTTCTGACGGAAAAGCGTGTGCGTGGTGGCAGATTCTCGAGAAGTACACGGACTCGGCGGTGAAGATCAAGTACTTCAACCAGGTCAGCTCGCCGCCCGCACGTGTGCTGACTTACTGCCGCCTCTCTCCGCATCGCTGTGTCCTCTCCATCAGCACGTCCCATCCATGCGCTCTCGTCGGAATGCGCGTGTCTGCACGTAGCTTCCACGTGCGTCGACGCCATGCTGCTCAGATCCGCCACTCACCTTCCCGCGCCCCTATTGACTGTGCGCAGAGCCAGTACCCGCGCGTGGTGGCGGACGACAACACGCCGTGGCCCGCCAAGGGGCGCAAGGACAAGGCGGCGTGGTACCCGCCCGGCCACGGCGACGTGTTCCCCGCGCTCTGCAACAGCGGCGTGCTGGACCAGCTGCTCGCCGAGGTACGGCGCGCAGCAGTGGGGATGTGCAGCAGGCTGGCGTAGAGGAGTGACGAGGTGATGTAGAGGTTTGGCAGAGACTCGTGTAGGGGAAGGGCGGAGAATGAGGAAGATGCCTGGTGGGACTGACGTAGAGGTTACTGCGTAGGGGCGGAGGGTGCTGCAGTGAAGAGGGGAAGCCGTGTTCATGCTTTGAGTGCTCGTTGCGTGCGTCGCAGGGCATTGAGTACGTGTTCCTTGCCAACGCGGACAACCTCGGGGCGACCGTGGATCTGCGCATCCTCAACTTCATCGTGCAAAACAACAACGAGTACTGCCTGGAGGTGAGTGCGAAACAGCAACGAGTGCTGCCTGGAGGTGAGTGCAAAACAACAACGAGTGCTGCCTGGAGGTGAGTGCAAAACAACAACGAGTGCTGCCTGGAGGTGAGTGCAAAACAACAACGAGTGCTGCCTGGAGGTGAGTGCAAAACAACAACGAGTGCTTCCTGGAAGTCTGTTCTGCCATCACTGCCACGTCCTGCTGATTACCTGTCGTTTTTGTGCCTCCCGTTCTATCCCTGTGCCTCCCTTCCACTCCCCTGCCTTTATCCTTCCCGCCCTCCGTGCCTCGCCGCGTGCGTGGCAGGTGACGCCCAAGACCCTGGCGGACGTGAAGGGCGGCACCATCATCAACTACGACGGCAAGCTGCAGGTCACCACTCTATCCTCCTCCCCGCACCTCCTCCTCCCCGCGCACTGCCTGTCACGAGCAGTGCTTTCGCCATCATGCGTGCCGCTGTTGCACTCGGGCTGCCTTGCTTCCTGCGGTCATGACCACCTTTCAACGCATTCAACGTTCTTCCTCCCCTCCGCTCTGCTTCCCCACACTGTCCTTGCAGCTCCTGGAGATTGCCCAAGTGGCACCAGAGCATGTGAGTGCCAACGGGGTGTTAGAGGGGCAGCGGGGCTGTGAGTGCTCATTGTTCCAGCAATGGTTTGAGGGATGGCTGCTGCGCTCGTGACCCTCTAGGCGCGTGCGCGTGGCGTTGCACTGGTCCAAGTGGCGGAGATAAGCAACCCCTAATGCATGCACGGGCGTTGCTGTGCGGGTGTGCGGTGGTGCGGTGGTGCTGCAGGTGTCGGAGTTCAAGTCCATCGACAAGTTCAAGATCTTCAACACCAACAACATGTCAGTCCGCCCTGTGCCTCACAGCAATAACCGCTTGTTAGGATCACTCAACCTTGGCTGTGTGTAATGAGGGCAAGCGACAGGCCATTGAAGCAGCCATTGGCGGTGCGGTGCGTGGTGTGTGCAGATGGCTGAACCTCGCGGCCATCAAGCGCCTCGTGGAGTCGGACGCGCTCAAGCTCGACATCATCCCCAACCCCAAGGTGCCACGCCCCGCTCCCTCTCCCCTGCCCTCGTCCCATGTCTCGTCCCCCATTGCACGCCCCATCCCCTCCCATCCGCCTTCGCCATTGCTCTCCCCGCACTCCTGCCCATCGTTTCTCACTGGCCGCCAGTAAGGCACTTGCAACATCTCCGTCACACCCATGTGTTGTCCATGTCCGCATGTGCCCATGCGCTTTGCATGTACGTGTGCATGCGTGCATGCTGCATGTGCCCATGGTCCATGCTGCGTGTGAGCAGGTGGTGGATGGGGTGGAGGTGCTTCAGCTCGAGACTGCTGCTGGTGCCGCCATGAAGGTGAGTGCGCCATGCCATGAAGCTGAGTGCGCCATGCCATGAAGGTGAGTGCGCCATGCCATGAAGCTGATACCTGCTGCACCACCTGCACACATGCCCCCCTGCTATTTTCGACTCCTTTCCCAGCCAACATCCTCGGACCCCATGTTTCTTCCCCTTCCTTCTCCCACCCCGCCGCCCTATTCTTCTGCCCCTACCCCCCTCCGCCCCTCCAGTTCTTTGACCGGGCCATCGGAGTGAACGTGCCTCGCTCGCGCTTCCTACCCGTCAAAGCCACCTCCGACCTCCTGCTCGTGCAGGTGCCTCTCCCCCCTCCTTCCCGAGCGCCCCTCTCCCTCCTGCTCGTCCATCCCCTGCCCTCATCGTTCACATCGCTGCTTTGCTCACTCACAGCCCCCTCGTCCATCCTTCCTCTCCCATGTCCCTCGTCTCATCGCACCTCTTTCCTCTCTCACCCCACGCCCCATGCCCCATGCCCCACGCCACATGCCCCATGCGGCACGGCGTGCTGCAGTCGGACCTGTACACAGTGCAGGATGGGCTTGTCACACGCAACCCTGCCCGCACCAGCGCTACCAACCCCACCATCGACCTCGGCCCCGAATTCAAAAAGGTGCTTCCCCCCTTTCCCCTGAACATATCATGTGTCATTTGGAAGTGTGGGTGGTTGTCCACTCATGTGTGTTCCTTGTTGTTCCAGCTGCTTGCAGTACTGAGCGGCAAGCATAATGCTGTGAATGCTGTGCATGATTAATGTGTTGCTTTGCTGCTGCATCATGCGCTGACCATCGCAGGTGGCGGACTTCCAGCGGCGGTTCAAGGCCATCCCCAGCATCATAGAGCTCGACAGCCTCAAGGTGTCGGGAGACGTGTCCTTTGGAGAGAACGTCACGCTCAAGGTGCGCGCCCCACTCTCGCCTTAGCACTGCCTGAGGCGCCTGGACGGAACTGCCTTGCTTGAATGTCCTTATCCCATTCGTGCACCTTGCTGTGTGGCCCCTTTCTCTTTTCCACCTCCCTCCCCTCCATCCCTCGCCTCTTCTCTCCCATGCTGTTCTCCCGGTCCTCCCCTTGTCGGTGTCCTGCCTGCCCCGTGCATACAGGGCAAGGTGGCGGTTGAGGCCCCCAAGGATGACAAGATCGTTGTGGCTGACGGCACTGTGCTGGAGGGATAGGCATGCAAAGGGGTTTAACCAGAAGTTGATATCTTGGGCTATCAGCAAGGGATTGCACAGCATGATTCATTAGTGCAGTTGCAGATCGCCTTGCAACACCTTCCAGAGCATGAGGCGATGTTTCTGCTGTCGACTGGTCTCCAATGTAGATAGCGAGGCCATTCATGCACTCCCTGGAAGAAGCTTCAGCATTTGCCCGACTCAATTGCATGTTCATCCCTTTGTTCCAACCATTGCACCGGTATGAACCACTGATCGAACAAAGGGGGCAAAGTGGCCATTTCATTGTAATACCAGGGAGTGTTTGTTCTTCCTTCTGAACACTTCCCAAGAAACACTCTCAGGGCGTATTCCTCTGAAGTAAGTAACAGAGGCAGAGCCTGAGTAGATCCTGCTGTATTACAGCGGAGAGATCCATCCAACATTCGCTCGTCGCAACACGTGACGACGGTCGTTGCTTGCAACCAAACAAGCATCAGTCTCATCAGAGAGTTCAGTGGAACCCCCCTGTAGTATGACGTATAGCCAGCTCTAACGGTTCTGATCCTACTGAAGAAAGATCCTACTTTGCAGGAATACGCCCTCAGTGAAGAAGCACCTCCGTGACCGCACGGACATGGATGTCAACATATATATATATATATATATATATATATATTGTTATAGGCTAGATAGGTGCATGCTCATAGAGAGTGCAACACCATAGCACAAAACCTCCCTGTATGCCTCGTCCTAGTCATTGCATAATTCTGAGATGGTATCACGCTGGGTTAGGGCCCCCCTCCTCCCCCCCCCCCCCGCTTATGCTTCCGCCCCTAGCCCTAGCCCTAGCCCTAGCTCGTATCCTAGCCGCGCTCGAGCCCTAGCCTGCGCCCGAGACGCACCCACGCCCTAGTACGTGCCCTAGCCTGCGCCCGAGACGCGCCCACACCCTAGTACGTGCCCTAGCCCTCCGCCCCCTCCGAGAGCGCGCCGCGCGGCCCCTAGCCCACCGTCGGGCCCGCCTGCTCTCGCCGCCGGCCCCGCCACTTCGCGTTGGCCCCGCTGCTTCGCGCCAGCCCCACCACTTCGTGCCGGCCCTTGCCACTTCGCGCCGGCCCCGCCACTTCACGCCGGCCCCTGCCACTCCACGCCGGCCCTCGTCCGCGCCGGCCCCCATTTGTGCCAGCCCCACTTCGCGCCAACCCCTGTCTGTACCGGCCCCAGCCGCCGCCGGCCCTAGCTCCTGCCGCGACACCGAGCAACAGCGCCGCGGAGCCACTGCACCGCGCCTACGAGCCGCGGAGCCGTCGCGCCGCGCCGCCAAGTTGCCGAGCCGCCGAGCCACCGTGCCGCTGAGTCGCCGCGTCGCCGAGCCGCCGTGCCGCCGTTCCGCCGTGCTACCGAGCCGCCGTGTCGCTGTGTTGCTCCGACATGCCGGCCTTGGCTCCCCCCTCTATGCTGGCGCTCCGGCCTTCTCCACCGCTGCTCTCCACCGCCCTCTCCTCCTCCTCCTCCTCTAGCGGCTGTCAGCTGCTGCAACCGTGGCGATGGCGGACGCTATGCTCTGCCTGGACGCGGAGGGTCGGGCGATCGACTTTGAGGCGTGTCTCCCCGACCTCCGCCACTCGCTGAGGGGTCAGCGCCAGGATGGCCAATCTCTGGCCGTCCACGTCAACGGTAAGATCCCCAATCCCGACTCGCCTGTTGCCCTCTCTAACGTCCCCACGCCCGCTGAGCGTGAGGCCTTTGCAGCTGCTGAGCTCGCCCGCTCTGTCTGGGAATCGCGTGATGCAGTTGCACAACTTGCTATTAGTCACGCCCTCCCCCTGTCTGAGCGCCCCCGCTACCAGGGTGTAGAGACTGCGAAGGATTACTTAGATGCCGTCATTGCGTGCTATTCCACCCCCTCCTCCGCCTCTGCCGGCCATCTCTTTCTCCCCTTGCTCTTCCCTGATCTTGCGTCCTTTCTCATTGTCGCTAATCTCGCCACTCACCTGAGCGCACTGGAGGCCATTACTGTGTTGCTAGCACCGAGGCTCAGCTCCTTGTACTGCCTCTCGGTGCTACCCTCTACTTCCTTGCCACGCGCCTTCCTGGCCGCCTAGCCACTGCCCGCGACCACTTCCTTGGCCTCCACCCCGCTGACCTCACCCTCACTCACTTCGTCACTACCCTGTCCACAATAGAGATCCGCCAGCGCACTATCGCTCAGTCGAGCGGCACTGCGGCAGTCCCTATCTTTCAGGGTTGTGCTCCCTCCCAGTGCACTTACTCTGACGTCTCTTCCGTTGTTGCTGAGACGGCCCCTACTGCTAAGACCACTGCAGCGGCCTCAGCGCAGTCTCGTCAGGATAGGGGATGCCAGGCCCATGGGGGGCGTGGCGGCGGTAGGGGTGGCGGAGGTGGCGGAGGTGGTGGAGGGGACTGTGGTCCAGAAGAGGGGACCGGGGGTGATGCCCTGGCGTAGCAGCAGGAGCAGCATCAGCCGTGGGGACCCCCGCCGCCGTGGTGACCTGGCGGCTCTGGTGGTGGTGGGCCGCACAGCTCGGTGTAGGGTGGCGGCTCCAGTGTGGTCACCTGCCAGTACCAGCTTCAGTTCGGCCCCCGACGCGGCACCGTCAGTGACAGTCCCAGTTACACTGCCGCTCGTTGCTACCGCCGCTTCGACGACCTCTTCCCTCTCCGATTCGGCCGTGCGTCGGACCCCCCCGACTGGCACAGCTTGGTACGTCGCCGTATGCCGGTCTTTGAGATGGATATGGATCAGATTTGCTCTGCAATGTATGTTACCGTAATCCCCCGTATACAACACCCGCCAAAATACCGGTAGTCACTCCGCGGGTGGTTTATGCGGGGGAGAGCTTATGATAGGGTGCATTTTTGAGAGCACCCGCTTTTCTGGGGTTGCATTTTACATAACACCCTCCTCGTTTTATACAAAGAAGAAAAAAGAAAAAGTATTTCGTCGTGCATTTCAAGGTCCGCTCGGTTGAAAACAACAAGCAGGATGAAAAATGCAAAGGCAACTACCATTTTAGCAAAAAAACGGGCAGAAGAATTAACACAAGTTGCAGCGCGAAATCGAAACGTCACGAGAGGTCGAGTATTGGGAGGATTTCGACCGTCGGAGTCGCAGATTCTGTTGTGATTTGATGGTAAAATCTCTCCCGAGCAAAATCCTCAGGCCTTGACGATCTAAGGTGTGGCACAAAGCTGGCCCTGACCACCGCACTCAGCAGGGATTGGCCAACGACGCCCCGAACGTACAAAATTTCGTCCCGGCGCAAGCTTGTCTCGTTAACAGCCGCTCCGCACAGTTGTGTGCACACATGGCCTGGAGCACTCAAATTCAAAGTGCATTTTACATAACACATGTGCACTATATTTTTCCGGGCCACTGTTAACACCCACTCATTTTTTTAGTGAATTTTTATATCCACCATAGGGTGTTATATACGGGGGATGACGGTATGTATGACATGTATGCTAATGAATCTAGTGTGACTAAACCTTATTACCCTGTGTTGCCTAATGTAGGTGTGCCCCCTGTGTGTAGTCTAGGCTCCCCTGCTACGTCAGGTGTAGGACCTCCTGATTTGTTTAGCTTGGGCTCCACGCTAGCCCCTCCGCCGGCAGCCACTACCGCCGCGCTTTCTTTTACGCTAGACTCTGCTGCATCCGCATGCTTCTTTCGCGGCACTGTCAGTGACCGTTGCTCGCTGCTACCACTGCCTCAACGACCTGTTCTGTCTCCGCTTCGGCCATGCGTCGGACCCCCCCCGACTGGCACAGCCTGGTACGTCGACGTGTGCTGGTCTTTGAGATGGATATGGATCAGATTCGCCCTGGTTTGTATGCCATGTATGCTGATGAATCTAATGTGACTGGACCTTATTATCCTTTGTTGCCTAGTGTAGGTCTATCCACTTGTCTGTAGTCTAGGCTTCCCTGCTGCGTCAGGCGTACGACCTCCTGCTTTGTTTGGCCTAGGCTCCGCTCTAGCCCCTCCACCGGTTGCCGCTACCGCTGCGCTCTCTTTCAGGCTAGACTCTGGTGCGTCCGCCTGCTTCTTTCGTGATCACACCGCTCTCACACCGCTTGCCGCCCCCACTGCTGTCGCGCTTGCTGACCCCTTATAGGCTTGCACATCCCCTCGTTCTCCAGGAATCTATTTGGTGTCGGCTGTCTTCACAACCTCGGCATCACCACTTTGTTCCCCAGACACGAGCGGTACGTGGTCTGTACCGAGGCCACCACTGGTGCCCCTCTCACCACGTTGCCCCGGGACTTGGTGTCTGGCTTGTTTACGCTTGACACCGCGTCCCCCCCGGTGGGGGCGTCTCCCTAGGTGGCCGCGCCCTCCCAGGTTGCTGCAGCTTGCTCTTGTTGGTCCCTCACTCACCCGTCACGTCTGTTGCACCACCGCCTAGGTCACCCCGCACTCCCGCGTCTGCGTCACATGTCCCAGCACAGTCTTGTCTTAGGTCTCCTTGCATCGCTCCCTGCTCTCCCTCCTTCGCCTAACCCATCGTGCACGCCCTGCATCGAGGGCCGGCTGCGCCGTGCTCCTCAATCCTCCTCACTTCCTCGTACCACTGTGTCACTCCAGACCTTGTACGTAGACGTTTGGGGTCCAGCCCCCGTCCCTGGGCCGCGTCGAGAGCGCTACTTTCTAGTGCTTGTCGACGACTACACGCGCTACACCATGGTGTTTCCCCTGGGGCAGAAGGCCGACGTGCCTGGCGTTCTTATCCCGTGGGTCGTAGATGCAAGAGTCCATAACGACCTCCCTGTGGTGCGTCTCCACTCCGACCGTGGCGACGAGTTTGCCTCCGGTCGGCTTGACCAGTTCTGTTGTGCGGAGGGCATCACCCTGTCGTACACCCTGCCGAACTCCCTGCAGCAGAATGGGGTCGCTGAGTGACGCATCGGTTTGGTCATGGAGGTGGCTCGTACCTCCATGATCCATGCCGGTGCACCCCATTTTCTGTGGCCGTTCGCTGTTCGCTATTCGCTCACCAGCTTAACCTGCGGCCACACTCCCAGCGGCCGCAGGTTTTGCCGACCCTCCTCTGGACCGGATCCCCTGGTGACACATCTGCATTCCACGTCTAGGGCTGCCTCACTCACGTTTGTGCCTCTAGCACAGACAAGCTCACTGCCCGCACCGTCCCTTGTGTCTTCCTTCGCTTCCCCCTCGATGCGTCTGCCTGTCACTTTTACCACCCGGCGTCCCACCGCTTCTTTCACTCTCGTGACGACACTTTTGAGGAGTCTGTCTCCGTCTAGACCCGCTTTCCTCACCGAAGTCTCCCAGTTACCCCGCCCCTGTTTCTGGTTCCCACTCCCCCGGTTGCACTTGCTTATCTCCCTCCCAGTCCTATCCCGTGTGGTGTGCCTCATGGCACTCCCCTTCCGTTGGTTGTCACGGTGGAGGAGTCGGCTGACTCTGGGGGCCCTGCGGCTTTGGTTTCGCCGCCTGTCTCCGCCCCTATGTCTTCTCCTCCCCTGCCGCAACAGCAGTCGTCGTCGTCGCTGCAGCAGCAGCCGCCGTCGCTGCCGTTGAGGACGCAGCAGCAGCCGCCGTTGCCGCTGTTGCGGCCTCAGGGGTCCACGAGCTCAGCGGGCGTGGGCGTTGAGGAGGGTGCTGGTACTCGGGGTGCTGGTTCTGGGGGTGCTAGTCCTGGGGATACTGTCGTGGCTTGTCCTGGCGCTGGTGCTGGAGAGGGTTCTCGTTCTTGGGGTGTTGTCGTGGAGTGTCCCAAAGGTAGTCGTGGTGCGGTTGGAGGTTCTAGCGTCAACGTGGAGCAGCAGCAGCAGTCGTCGATAATGTCCGCCCTTCGCCTCTTTGGTCTTCCCTCCCCCGACCGCCCGCCTGCGCCTACCCCGCCGCTGCCTCCCTCGCCTGTCTACTGCCCTGTGTTTCCTCCACCGGACTGGTACCCGTCTTGTTTCCCCCCTCGTTCATCTCCTATGTCTCCTCTCTTGTCTCTTGACTTGACCCCCCCCTCCCGCTGGTGGTTTCACCGTGCCTCTCGTACTCGACCTGTCTGTCCTGTCTAGCGCTCTCACCACATGTTGCTCCGCTCTCACACGTCTTGTGCTCCTCTTCTACACTTGCATCCTCAGCCGTCGCTTGTTGTCTCTCCGCCTCCTCTCTCTGACTTCCTCCGTGCTGCTACTCCACTTGTTCCTTGCGTGCTCGCCTCTCTTGTTACCAACCCGTCCGTTCCTCTCTCCAGTCTTGACGCTGTTGCCGCTGCCATCGCTGACGCAGTGGGTGGTGGGCGGTGGGCGGTGGTGGGCGGTGGGATTTGAACCCATGACCTTTCCTTTCCTATGGTTTTTTTTGCCCCACTAGGGCACTGGATGTGCTCTCCCTGATCCATCTCCATTATTGTGTACATGCACAAATGGTCGGTGCAGTGAGGTTCTTGTTGTACTGGACAATTGGCAATTTCCCAAATGTCAAATTAGGACCATAGGCAAGAGGTAAAACTTGGGCCAAGTTGACGGAGGACGGCTAAATGGAAGCACGCACTAGCCAGCTGCAATCATATTTGTTTGATTGTACGCCACAACACTTGCTATGGCACAAGCAGTGTGTGTAGGGTATGCACGTACCATTCCCAAAATATTTTGTGCTTCCAGGCTATGGCTCAAGGAGAGGGCAGGAGCTTGTAGGGGTTGAGAATGCCATGGGGGTCAAACAAGGTCTTCACTCTCTTCATCACTGCCACCTGCGGCACATGCACGCAACACAGATGGTGTGCGAGAGGCAAGGAAGACCGGGAGAAGGGAGGACAGGGGATGCGTGTTGCTGTATACACTTCTTACCTGCCAAGTCTGTACCACACCACCTACCTAATACAAGGGCACATTGAGCACCAAGGGAACGACAGCACAATGAACGAGATTCAATGGAAGGTAGTGGTGGACCAGATGCGGCAAGGGCGAAGTACTGGATGTGCCCACTCCTAGGCAGGTTGACGAACGGCAGGCAAGCGAACACGTGCGCACGGCATGGCAGCCCATGTGCATGCAGAGTACGACATGGCAGTCCATGTGCAGAGCGTGGCATGGCAGTGCATGCAGAGGGCACGTACCGCGTGCGGCGCCTTGCTGTAGTGGATGGCGTTGGCCTTCATGAGCCCCAGCCCGTGCTCCGCACTCACACTGCCCTGCCGCCCCGCCACCCACTCGTACACAAACGGCTCTATCCGCTCCAACAGCTGCCGGGCGCCACGGCATGGCACGGCATGGGCGCACAAGTGGTAGCACCCACACGTGACAGCACGCACACATGAGGGAGAAGGCACACGGAGGGGCGGGGAGTGGAGACAGTGGAGACAGATGCATTGGATTGGTGAGGCCTGTACCCCAGAAGAGCGTGAAGCTAGTGAGCATGCAACTGGCTGGGCACCATACCTACCATCATCATACTTGCCTAAGTGCCTACGTCAATCCCAGACGAACCTTGTCATCATATGTGGGTGCGGAGATGTTGAGATGCAGATTGCCGTCTCCCAGATGCCCGTACCCCACCACCTCCGCTGCACTGCCCTCTGCTCCCCCAATATGGCACACACTCACAGCAGCGAGCACGGAAGAGAGACGCAGTAACACAGGGGAAGGGAGGGAGAAGAGGAAAGGAAACGAATGTGAGATGGGAGCTCGATGGGTACATACCCATCATAGCATGCCACATTGCACCACGCCATACCGCCACCACCACCTCATGCTCATGCCTCTGGACCTCCCTTGACCTGACACTGTGCGTCGCATCCCTTGACCTGACACTGTGCGTCGCATCCCTTGACCTGATACTGTGCGTCGCATCCCTTGACCTGACACTGTGCGTCGCATCCCTTGACCTGATACTGTGCGTCGCATCCCTTGACCTGACACTGTGCATCGCATCCCTTGACCTGACACTGTGCGTCGCATCCCTTGACCTGATACTGTGCGTCGCATCCCTTGACCTGACACTGTGCGTCGCATCCCTTGACCTGACACTGTGCGTCGCATCCCTTGACCTGATACTGTGCGTCGCATCCCTTGACCTGACACTGTGCGTCGCATCCCTTGACCTGACACTGTGCGTCGCATCCCTTGACCTGACACTGTGCGTCGCATCCCTTGACCTGATACTGTGCGTCGCATCCCTTGACCTGACACTGTGCGTCGCATCCCTTGACCTGATACTGTGCGTCGCATCCCTTGACCTGACACTGTGCATCGCATCCCTTGACCTGACACTGTGCATCGCATCCCTTGACCTGACACTGTGCATCGCATACACACGGATATGAGATGTCATTCCACCATCCGGCTCCTTCTCAGCCTCTTCCCTTCTTTCCCTCCCCGCCTCTCCCCACTCCCCCTCTCACCCCGTCTGCCTCGCACCTCGTCCAATGCACACAACTCTCTCGTCGCCACCGACCGACCATTCTTTCATACCGCATCATCCCTCTTCTTTCATGCCGCATCATCCCTCTTCTTTCATGCCGCATCATCCCTCTTCTTTCATACCGCATCATCCCTCTTCTTTCATACCGCATCATCCCTCTTCTTTCATACCGCATCATCCCTCTTCTTTCATGCCGCATCATCCCTCTCGCCCATTGGCCCCTTGGCCCCTGCAGCCCTATTCCTCACCCAGCCGGGTGCGCATCTCCTCCACAAGAGCGTACAGGTCCTTGACGGGCACCGACAGGTCGTACTTGTACACCGCCCCCGCGCGCTGCAGCGCCTCCGCCACACCCTGCTTGGTGCGGATAGCGCCATCCACGGGGAGGGGAGGGGGCAGGGAAGGTGGGTAGCGTTGGAAGGGGAGCACAGCGAGGGGGTGTTCAAAGGTGGAGTGGCATGAGGGGCAGAGGGGACATGAAATGACAGTGTGAATGGATAGCAGCGGAAGCGGAAGGAGAAGCGGCAGTGGCAGGGGAAGTGAGGAGGGTGACATGTCAGCTGACCTCTCGCAGGTGCCAGATGGCAGCGGCCTGAGTGGAGTCATGCGCCACCGTGCCGTCGTCCACCACCCCCTCCTCCATCACACTCTCCAGGAACGCGTCCAGCTTCGCCCTGCCGTGCCATAGCGCACAGGGAGGGAAGGAGGGGGAGGAGATGGGGTGTGTGCGTGCCACATGGTGGGCATGGTGGGGAGGATTGATGCATGCATGGATTGTGGAGTTCCATTCCATGAGCTCCGTGGCTGGCTCGTGTGTGTGAGATAGAGCTATGGCCAGCACGGCTACTGCCACACCCACCTGTCATGCTCTGCCTGGCTGCCCGACGTCTCAATGAGGACGTAAAAAGGGTATGCCCCGTCTGGCAGCGGGTCCCTGGTGCCCTCGTTGTGCTTCAGCACCTGGTAGCAATGTCATGGCACGTGGTGGCAGCCCACACACGTGGCAGGAGAGCACGTCAGACAGACTATGTGAGACGTGTTGTGATGCTTCTATCATGCCACATGCAAGCTGCCATCTTCCATCTAAGCTAGCAGCCGCAATTCCCGCTAGACTTACCATGCGTAAAGAGTTGCTGTCGAAGAACTCAGCGGCAGACAGCACCTCCCCTAGATGGCGCCTGCTCTCGCAGAATACCCGCTGCACGGCGTCAAAGGACGAGCACCCCAGCAGCGCCACGTGCACGGAGGGCGACCGCGGGGGCGCCAGCAGCACCACCCTCGTCACCACGCCTAGCGTGCCCTCCGCCCCTGATGGCGGGGATAATGGTGAGAGGGAGGAAGGGGGGCGGATGCGGAGAGGTGGGCTCAACTGTCGCACTTCATCACAACCCGCAATCAAGCCAACACACCCATCGATCCGTCCCCAAGTCTCATCAATGAAGAGGTGCTTGAGGTCGTACCCCGTGCTGTCCTTCCTCGATAATTACCCTGCTACGACCCCCAAGTCTCACCAATGAAGAGCTGCTTGAGGTCGTACCGATGAAGAGCTGCTTGAGGTCGTACCGATGAAGAGCTGCTTGAGGTCGTAGCCCGTGTTGTCCTTCCTGAGCGCCCTCGTCATGTCCACCACCGTGCCGTCCGCCAGCACCACCTCCAGCCCTGCAAGAAGAAACGCACGCACGGGGGGAGATGCATGGGAGGGGACGCATGGGGGCATGCAGGGATGGTTGCGGCATTACATCCACCAAAGTGCCGTCCGCCAGCACCAAAATCAGCCGTGCAAAGGAGAAGCGCACGAGAGAGCACGCATGCAGGCAGGCATGGTTGAGAGGCAGCACCCCCAGCCCTTCCACGCCCACCATGCACGCACGGGAGGGGAGGCATGGTTGATCGGAGTGGGAACTGGGACTGCACCGTCCACCAGCACTCCAGCCATCCATTCTTGCAGATTCACATCACATGGTAATCTGCAGAGCCTTGAGAGAGAAAAGTGTTACCGAGGCTGGAGGCCAGAGCAAGAGCCCTCACCGAGCACAGAGCCGTGCAGGGAGCCGTAGCGCAGCAGGCGGATGCCGCCCGCGTTGGTGGACACGTTGCCGCCTATCTGGCAGCTGCCCTTGGCGCCCAGATCCAATGGCATCGCGAACCTGAAGAAGTGGGCGCGTAGGGTGTGGGGTGTGGGGTGTGGGGTGTGGGGTGTGGGGTGTGGGGTGTGGGGGAGGTGAGAGGGGAGGTGCGTTCGTGTGCTTACTGATGCATTGGTGATGTGACCCTCTGGCGGCCAGAGGAGAGGAGACGGGAGGTGCAGGTGGTGGTATGTGTGTGTGTGTGTGTGTGTGTGTGTGTGTGTGTGTGTGTGTGTGTGTGTGTGCATGCGTGCATGGGTGTGTGTGTGTGCGTGTGTGTGTGTGTGCATGCATGTGTGTGTGTGTATGTGTGTGTGTGTGTGTGTGTGTGTGTGTGTGTGTGTGTGAGTTTGAGAGTATCACTCACCCCCTGTCAGCCAGAAAGGTGTCGAGGGACTCGAGAATGCAGCCTGCCTCGCAGTCAAGGATGCCGCTGACCTGATGGGGGCACACGTGGGCCGGATGGGGCGGTGTGGGGAGAGAGCGAGGGGAAACAGGCACTGGCGTGCGGTGCAGTGTTTACGCATGGAGTTAGAGTTTGGCAATAAAGTGCAGGTCTCGTGGGTGGGTTTAGTGGAAAAAGAGGCCCAGTTGATGAGCGAGGGAGTGCATAGTGGCATGGCAGCCATGTGCAATGCCGCAACATGCATGCGATTGTTAGGAGGGGAGGGAGGGCAGGGGTACAAGGGAGAGCAAGAGGCATACCTCATCAAATGAGATTATCTTGTTCATTCCTGCGAGGCTCAAAATAATCTGTCATTCCATGTTATGCCGTGATCAGAGGAATGCCAAAAACATGCACCCAGAAGGGTAGGGAAGGAGAGCAAGTGAGATGGAGGAACAGGCCACTGCACTCCACCTCCGTAACATGACCACATGCCATCCCTCTCCCTCCGTAGCTCTTCACATCTTCACCACTGCCCTCGAAGTTGACACTCCCTTGCATTGACTGTAGTTGCCATTGATATTGATAATAATCCGCATTGACACTGATACTGACTGACATTGACCGACGTTGACTTACAATGACAGACATTGACTGGCTTTGACTGAACCTGACTGACGTTGACTGGCATTGATTGACATTGACTGACATTGTTTGACATTAACTGACATTGACTCACATTGACTGACATTGATTGGCATTGCCTGACATTGATTCACGTTGACTGACATTGATTGACATTGACTGACATTGACTGACATTGATTGACATTGACTGACATTGTTTGGGCATTGACTGACATTGATTGGCATTGCCTGACATTGATTGACGTTGACTGACATTGATTGACATTGACTGACATTGATTGACATTGACTGACATTGTTTGGGCATTGAGTGACATTGATTGGCATTGCCTGACATTGATTGACGTTGACTGACATTGATTGACATTGCCTGACATTGATTGACGTTGACTGACATTGATTGACATTGCCTGACATTGATTGACGTTGATTGACATTGATTGACAATGGTGGACCTTAACAATGGCTGAGCTGCTGCACACCCCATGCCAAGCGCACCCACCTCATCAAACACAGGCACACTGCCGCCCACCAACCCCGTGTTGCCGCCCTGAGGCACCACAGCCAGCCGCCTCTCATTGCAGTACTTCAAAACATCCGCCACGTGGCGTGTTGTGGTTGGTCGCAGTAGCAGCTTGCTATTCCCCTTGTACTTGCCCATCCAGTCCACGTTGGCTGCTCCCACAGCATCAGGGTCCGTGATCACGCCACGCTCGCCTAACACCCCCTTAAAATACTCCACATCAGCATCTTCTAGCGTGGCAAATTGCGGGTCTCTGGAGACAGCCACAGTGGCGTACGCTGCCCGTGCTGTCGCGCCAGGGGTGAGGGACTCAGGACCGCGAGACACAAGCGCGCGGAACCCAACCTTTGCCGAGGCAAGTGCGTGGATGCTAGCGGTGGCTGACGGGGTTTGGTGGAGGGGGAGGGCCGCGGACATTGCGCGGAGTAATTGCAGGTTTAGCGGCGCAGAGCGGGAGGACGCGGAGTGCGATGGGGCTGGATGAAGTGCGGGGTTCGGCGCGGGACGGGGAAGAAGGCCAAATTGCCGGAACAACGTGGAGGTTGCGCGGATTGCACGGCCACGCTGGGAGGACGCCATGCTGTGCTGCACTGGTCACGACACGGCGATCTACTGACGTTACGGACTAGGCGAACAGCAGTTACAGAGCAGCTACTGAGAGCGAGAGCGCGTGGTTAGACGAGCACTGAAAGGGGGCGTGACTTGCGCGCGAAAGTGGATTGCCGAAACACTGGTAACGCTGAAGGTGACCTTTGAGTCGACTCAAAGGTCAACAGCTCTGCTGATTAAGGTGGCTCGCCGGCGCTGCGATGGCTGGCTGGAGGAGGTGCGGCGGAAGAGCGAATGGCGCGGACCGACAAGGACGGGCTAAGTAAGAGGTGATCGCATGCGATGGTGACGAGCTGTCGCACGCGACGTCTCAGCTCTGAGATGCCTTTCGCGGAAGGCGTACTGAACTGACTGCTTCGAGCAATCCAAAAACTCACGCAAGGATGAACCTACACGCACGTGGATGCTGTGAGGGGCGAGAGGCGAGACGGAACTTCTCGGTTGGTAGGGAGGACCAGTTGGCAGTGGAAGGAGCGAGTGATGTGAGGAGGACACAGGAGGGACGATAGACGAGACATACGGTGGTGGTCAAGTGTGTTGCGTACCGCAAGGAGTGCTGCTGCCATGTATGTATACGCGCTGGTCTGGCGCACGTCGAGAAACTAGAGCATGTCAGCTCGGCCAACTCAGCCATGGATGGTCAGCAAAGCAGGGTGGTTGGGCGATAATAAGTAGGCCAACTGACCGAAATTGCAAGCGACGGATGGTGGCTGAAATCGCCTTGCCTCAAAAGGATGTGAATCTAGGGAAATCTAGCCCGTGCTCGGGCACACTTGTCAGGACTCAGGAATTCCCGAGGTGCTGGAGAGGCGCGCATTGGTGCTTGCCTGCCCCTCGAGAACTGCGGCGACGAGTGCGGCCCACTCGCATGCTCTTCACCACATCCCCGCTGGCAATCACGTAGTGAGAACATTCTAGCTCCTGGTGAATTTCCAGTTTTACTTGAGTGTACATCATCGCAGATCGTTATAGGCCAACAGCTGATCGATTTGCACATCCTCGATAATAACAGAAATCGCCTCTGCTGATGTGGTGCCACATGTGCTTTGGATGAGGTCTGGCAAATTTTGTGTGTCGTCTCCAACCCCACTGATGTCCTGACGCGTGGAACCGAATTGCCCCTCCCTTCAGGCCGACCGAAGCCATACACTGGGTAACCCTATCAACCAATCTGCCCATACTTCCAATGTGTCGCATACAATTTTTGTTGAGGAACGAAGTGCAGTCCCAGGGTCGCGATTTGGGCTCGCAGAATTTCAACGGCTCAGATGTGCGGTTTGGGTTCGTCTATGAAGTGTGTGGAACTCCCAAGGGCTGCCTGACAAGGCAGGAAGGAAAACTGATCAGCTGGTATCTTGGTAGTCCTCTCACCTGCATCTAAGACCAGGCTGGTCTGGTCTAGAGCCTAGACTCGCCGCCATGGCTAAGGACGACGTTCCACAGAAGGCGAAGCCTTCGCAGCTGGTCTCTAAGAAGTCTCCAGCGCAGGAGCCGGCGAAGAAGATGAGTCCGGGGGAGGAGATGGAGAGCGAGTGGCAGCAGATCGTTGACTACTATGACCCGGTCAATGTGGGGAAGCGCGCCGAGGAGGCCAGGAAGAAGGAGCTGCAGGCTCTTCAGTCCGCCATGGAAGCGAATCGCGAGCAGGAACAGGTTAGAACAGGCAGCACAGTTCTTGTAGGGATGAGGATATAGCAGCTCCTGGTTTCGAGTCAGAATGTATCAGTTCGTCGCGATTCAGGGGTTTGATCAGGTTGGTGCGTGAGGCTTATTCGTATTATCGCTTTAGCCGAATGCGTCGGGTAGAGGTTGGATGTGCGGTCGTTCGAGCGAGCTTCAGCGGCCATGCCAGATCCGATCAGGAATGTAGCTAGCATTCAGAGGCACGCGTAGTGAGTAGACTCAGAAGCTACACTGGTGAGGATTCCATATTTCCTGCTCTCAAACAGAGCATGACAGAATGGTATAGCCGAGCGTCCAGTCGTAAGTCTGTTAAATGCGGTGGGATATAAGGCCTTTACCTTGTGCCTGATGCAGTAAGCTCAGCAAGTGTTTACTTCTCGTCGTCATCCCGCTTCATAAACCACATCTCATTAGCTTGCCTGCTGATAGTCTGTCAATGCGCGTGGATTCTGCGTTCCTGCAAGTCACGGCTTCCCTCGCTCCCCCCTCTCCCTCCGCGCGTCCCTTCCACCGTCCACTCGCCCCGTCCTAGATTCTTGAGGACTTCTACGGCATCAAGCCCAGGCCGAAGCAGTCCCTCGAGGAGCTGGAGCGGGCGGCGGCGGAGGTGGCGGAGGAGGACGAGTGGAATTTCCCGCAGGACCCGGACAAGTGGACGGAGGCGGACCTCGGCGAGGAGTGGGCGGAAGCCCCCCCCGACGCCAAGGTGCCGTTCTACGACCCGCTTCTCGGGCTCTCCGCGCTCGACGCCGCCGATGACGATGCGGACGCCGACGACGGCCGGCGCAGGTGAGGGGAATGAGGGAAGTTTTTTATGCTCTTCGCGCTTACAGGTGGCTCTGACGTCCCAATCACACGCAATGCGGTTGCTCATAACTCTCCATTTCGGTTGCCCGTTGTCTTCGTGTGCTCGCATGCCGTATGCCCTTTACCCAACCAGCCCTCCCTCCCCGCCTCTCCCCCTCCCCCGCCCTTTCCCCCACCAGGCGCAAGGCCCCCCGCAAGCAGCAGCGGGCAAAGCTGCCGCACTCGGAGGACCGGTATGTGCCGTACCGGCAGGGGCTGCCGCCGGTGAACGAGATGGACGATGGGAGCTCGGGCGCGCTGAGGGCGCTGGAGGAGCTGGAGATGGAGGAGGAGTTCCTGCAGTGGGCCTCCTATGTCTTCCGCGACGGCGCCACGTGAGTGCCGCCCCGCACGCACCTTCCCCTGCTCGCACTGTATGCAGAAACAAGTCCGCTGCATGCGCTGGCCCTATCTCGTTTGGCTGGTGCAGCCCCGAATGAGCATGGGCTTCGCTAGAGATGCGACTGTTGATATTAAGCACACCCTCCCGTTGCCGTCTTGTCTTTTCCACCCTTGGCCCGCCTTGTTCGTCGCTCTATTCGTGCCCTGGCGGCAGGTACGAGGGCACGGTGTGGAACGACATGGCGCAGGGCAAGGGAGTCTACACCACGCCCCTCGAGCTCTGCAAGTGAGTGCTGGTTACCACTCGAGCTCTGCAAGTGAGTGCTGGTTACCACTCGAGCTCTGTAAGTGAGTGCTGGTTACCACTCCAGCTCTGCAAGTGAGTGCTGTGCACCCCGTCTTCGATAGAAACAACCCACACCAAATGTAAACATCGCTGACATTTGCTCACCCCTTTCTCCCACACTCTCTCTTCCCATCGTCCTCCTTCTCTCTTCCCTTCCTCCCTCATGCCCACCTGTCTCTCTGTGTGTGTGACTCTGTCTGTCTGTGCGTGCGTGCACCGGGGGGAGCAGGTACGAGGGCGAATGGGTGCAGAACATGATGCAGGGCCACGGCGTGCTCTCCGTCGACGTCCCTGCGCGCCTCCCGCCGCCAGACTCCGAGTAAGCTCTACTCGAATATGCCTCCGTGCCGTGCTACCTCCCTCCCCTTCACTACCCTGTCCTTCCCGCCTAAACCCCAAACCTCCCCACACGACCCTTCACTGTCCTCACCTCTCACCCATAACCGATCCCTTCCCCACATTCCCCCCCTCCCCCGCTCCCCGCACGCGCGCTGCGCGCGTCAGGGCGTGGCGGAAGCTGAAGGCGGAGGGGAAGGTGTTTGAGGACGCGGAGATGAGCGCGGAGGACCGGGAGTGGCTGCGCATGGAGCTGGAGGACCTCAGCCAGCAGGAGACCGACGCCAAGAAGGCCACCGCCGCCGCTGCCGCTGGCGACGGCACTCTCGCCGTGGCTGACCCCACTGACGCCGTGCCGTTTGAGGACCACCCCGGTTGGCTCAAGGTCTACGGCCGCAAGCCGTGAGTGCGCCGGGTCCCCTAGTAGCTGGCAGAATGCTACCCGGCAGGCTAACAGCAAGGGTGTTGGGCGTAGGCCCAGTCGTCAGGAGGGGAGAATGATGAGATGCAGCCACGCAAGTATGTGGAGTGACAAATGTGCTTGTGCCCTCCCCCCCATGGTGCATGTGCATGTGTGTGTACATGCGTGTGCGCGCAGGGAGAAGGGGCACTACGAGTACGCGGGGCAGATGAAGCAGAACAAGTTCCATGGCTGCGGTGTCTTCACGCTCAACGGCCGCATGCACTTCGTGAGTCAACGGCTGCATGCACTTCGTGAGTCAACGGCCGCATGCACTTCGTGAGTCAACGGCTGCATGCACTTCGTGAGTCAGCGGCCGCATGCACTTCGTGAGTCAACGGCCGCATGCACTTCGTGAGTCAACGGCCGCATGCACTTCGTGAGTCAACGGCCGCATGCACTTGGTGAGTCAACGGCCGCATGCACTTGGTGAGTCAACGGCTGCATGCACCTGGTGAGTCAACGGCTGCATGCACTTGGTGAGTCAACGGCATAACAGCATGAATCACACGCACACCTACGGTTTCAGTTCAGCAATGTAGTGCATTGCATTGTCAGCTGTCCTCGTACCTCCCTTGGTATGCCTCGTACCTCCCTCGGTAGGCCTTGTATCTCCCTCGGTAGGCCTCGTACCTCCCTCGGTCTGCCTCGTACCTCCCTCGGTAGGCCTCGTATCTCCCTCGGTAGGCCTCGTATCTCCCTCGGTAGGCCTCGTATCTCCCTCGGTAGGCCTCGTATCTCCCTCGGTAGGCCTCGTATCTCCCTCGGTAGGCCTCGTATCTGCCTCGGTAGGCCTCGTATCTCCCTCGGTAGGCCTCGTATCTCCCTCGGTAGGCCTCGTACCTCCCTCGGTAGGCCTCGTATCTCCCTCGGTAGGCCTCGTACCTCCCTCGGTAGGCCTCGTATCTCCCTCGGTAGGCCTCGTATCTCCCTCGGTAGGCCTCGTATCTCCCTCTTCAGTGCCATTCCTGCCGTCTGTGCCACTCCTGCCGTCTGTGCCTTCCCACCCGCAGGGCAAGTTCCGCTTTGGGGAGTTTCTGCGCAACAAGGACGAGTGCGACGCCCACACCTCGGGGGTAAGTCCCAGGGAGAAAGCAAACAACCAAGAGGGCGTAGGGTGGAAGGATCACCGGGAGTCGAGGGGGGCGTACAAGGAATGGAGGGAGGGGCGGAGTTTGGGTTAGGAAATGAGAGTTGCATTGTGGACGGCGCTGTCACCGTTGCTGCTGGTTGGTGGGCACTTGGTTTCGTCTGCTCCACCATGCTCACAATTTTTGAGGCGCCTCAAAAACCGTTGCTGCTGGTTGGTGGGCACTTGGTTTCGTCTGCTCCGCCATGCTCACGCGTCCTGCGTATGCCCTCCTCGTGTTTGTTTTTGAGGCGCCTCAAAAATAGACTCCTGCATATGCCCTCCTCGTGTTTGTTTTTGAGGCGCCTCAAAAATAGACTCCTGCCTATGCCCTCCTCGTGTTTGTTTTTGAGGCGCCTCAAAAATAGACTCCTGCCTATGCCCTCCTCGTGTTTGTTTTTTAGGCGCCTCAAAAATAGACTCCTGCCTATGCCCTCCTCGTGTTTGTTTTTGAGGCGCCTCAAAAATAGACTCCTGCCTATGCACTCCTCGTGTTTG